CAAGCAGACTGTTGGAAAATATGCCGCGAACGAACACTTCTATTCTAATCACTAAACCATTCTAACACAGAAGACTTGCAGAGCAAGCAAAAAGGCATCATAATCATAGTAAATTATCGGAATCGAAAGTAAAATTTAATGAAAAGTAGTTATATTAGGTAGGGCGTTTGAGGTCGATGGGGCAATGACAAACGGGACAATTGCTCCAACGCTCAGAAACGGTATAAAGAAAGAAAATGCTTGGTATGGCATTAAGGTGACGCATAGGCATACATATGTATGTATGTAAATACTTCAATGAATTTCATTGCCGAGGCTTTTAATGATGGTTTTTTTTTTAATATTTGCTAAGTGCTTACCAGCCGCACACAGCAGGGTGTGGAACCTTCAAAAGGTAATGGCTGGTGCAGCAATTTGTGGGCTATGGATTAAAGGTAAGTAAGCGGAAGATGCACAGAACGGTGTGACATTTACAATTGCATCTACATATGAATGTACATACATACATATATATACATGAAAAACCAGCTGTTAGGCGCTAGCCAACTGCGCCATTCATTCTTTCAACTTATGCCACTTTTTTATAGCCTAGTTTAAATTGACGATTGAATATACATACATACACAAGTAATATATTGTTTTTGCTATTGTTTAATTATCGCTTGACATTCCCAGTCGCCTTCTATTTAATCGAGTTAATGTTAATGTCAATACCGTTGCAAGAATGTTGCTTGCTTATAAAAAAAAAAACGTAAATAATTTGGTATATGTATTTATTTTAACTTAATTTATTCTTTGATAATACATAGTCGCTTGCAATACCACGTATAAGATAATTCGAAAATGTTTCAAAAGAGCAAACAAACAGATTTTCTTCAAAACTTTTGAATGGTTTTCTAAACGAATCTACTAAATATGAATTTCTACTATAGTTCTTCAACAATAAATTTGTGAAGTAGACAAGCATTGAGACGGCAGCCAAAATAAATTTTTTTCTATGCCACCTCATTCGTGGTATTGAATTTGGTGGATACGATATGCACATACATACATAATCACCTACATGCGAGGAAATAGTTCCACAAAAAATTTAGCCGGTAGGTGGTGCTGCGGTCGAATTATTTCGAAACACTGGGCCTATGGTCTGATTTAGTTGATGTTTGTAATATATATGTATTACCTACATTAAAAGGAATAACACCGCAAAAATGTTGCCGATAGATGGCGCAAGAGTTGAGGTATCTGGAAAACACGTATTTATGGTCCGATTTGGTTCATATTCAGAAAGTTTTATTTTTCATTTCGTGTGAACTCGTTTACATTTCGCCCAAGTAGTTTTCCTATTGTATGTTGAATATTCATCAAGCGAGTAGCTCACTTCGAATCATTTCCACGCTATCGTACACCGTATTCACCTGTTACCTACTTCGAAATTTCTGTGTGAAATGCCGTTCACCCGAAATTATTCCACCTTCATGATAAAGTGAACGTTTCGGTGAACTAAATTTTTGCCGGTGAAATTTTTCACCAAAATATTCATGATAAGGATGACTATTAATTTATATTAAATGTTTACATATCAGCTTGGTGTGAAGTTTTACTTGCATTCACAGCTCAAAAAGCTTTTATTTACATATGCCAAGAAAGTACACTCCAATCTGATATTTTAGTTGAAAAACAATTTAAAAAGAGCACTCCCAACAAATAAGTCAATAATAAAAATATATTTTTAACCGCATAACTTTGGACCACGTTAACCGATTTCTATAATTCCTTTTTTAATGGAAAGGTGGTCCCATACTATTTTAGTTCAGATCCGATCATTGGATCGTGAAGAAATTAACGGTAGTCTTAAATTTGTATATGAGAATTGAAGACGGTTTTGTTTTTTGCTTAAAAATTACTTGTTAAAACAAGCCTTCGAAGTATGAACCAAATCGGACCATAAATACGGGATTTCACAGTGTCTCGATTCCTGCACCACCTTACGGATTATTTCATCTTTCATATTGCATTCGTTATCGTGGTAAGAGGTAATTTTGCAGTTTCTAAGTCTCTACCTCATCGGGAAGTTGGTGGAATATTGAATGCAAAATTCCAGGATCATATGTATATATCGACCCCTATTTTCGATTTAAACAGTGTGAAAATTATTTGGATTTAAATGGACAACAACATTATTGAATGCTAGCTTTCTAATAGGACTATTTATTTTTTTGCATACCTTATTTTCTAAAAGTAAAATGGCGCTTACGATATTTTTCCTGAACATGCTGAGATGTATAGTCTGAACATTTATAAACGAAGGCCTGCGAGTTCTTTAAGGATTGTTTAAAAATACTAAATTTTAAATTAATTAAATATAAACACTGCCAATCAGGAGAATAAGCTCAACATATTTTTAATTTTACCTGTTTGGTGCATTTACAAGATTCTCAACAAGATGTCTTCGTAGATACTGTGTTAAAGCTCATTCAATTCTCTAACAAACACCTAAAACGACCCATTGGCTCTACTATTTGGTATTTTCTTTTCAAGTTTTTTTTTTAAAGAATATGACAAAAGTAAAACTCAATCCTCGACCAAATTAGGTTTAGTGCCAAAATCTTCATATTAAGGAGATTTTTGGCAAATTTCGAAATCAGTTGTTAGATATATTTCGCGACTCATCGTGTATTTTAAACCTAGTTTTTGGAGAAAAAATTGCTGAACAAAAACTTTTAATCTAGAGATTAAAATCAACGACTGCAATTTTATAAAAAAAAAGCTGAAGTGCAAAAGTTTTGATAAGTAAAAGTGATAAATCAAAATCTTATAAGCAATTTGTAAGGAGAGAAACCGCAAAATGAGATATAACACTGGCAAACTGCGTGCAATTGTTGTTGCAACAAACTCGAGGAGAGAGAGAGAGTTTGTTGGGCCAAGCTGCCGTTAATTTGGTGTTGCCAAACACAATTTCTGCATAACAGCGACCGTATTTGACAGACCACTTGAGGGAAATTTTAACAAAAATCGCAATTTTTATTTTCTGGCCGCCATGTTGAAGCTCGATCAAACGTTTGTATGGCGTTTGGTAAAGTTGTATAAGAAAATTTCATGTATTAAAAACTCCTGAGCCCAAAAAATGTACAAAAAAACACAATTTTCGCTGACACGCATCGAAGATGAGCAAAATTTAAGCGACAAAATCGCTATCTGCACCCTTCATCAGCCGGAAAAAAACGAAAAATCCTTGCTTGTATGGTGCATGGGAAAATAAATAAACAAAAGATAATAAAGCCGTCCGTGTAGTTTATTTCGCTCTTTAATCGCAGTCTATTAAGGAATTAGGTTCTGTCCTTTATCAAGCATATATGTGCATATGTGTATAATATCACATTTAAATTGTTCTGAAACTCTACAAAAACAAAATATGTACTTCAGCACCGGGCGAATGGATTAGTGTGGAAATATATTTTCGTTGTGCTTTAATCAGTACTACTTAATTGTTTATGACTGAAACATGAAAACAGTATCTAAAAAATACACACGAAAAAAAAAAACTTACCAAAACTTCGTAACAAATTTCCCTAAGTTCCTTCTCCACGCGTTCTCTGTACTCGCGGGCGAGCTGTTGTTTTCTGGCGGAGGATTCAGTTTTTTGCTCGATTGATGAAATTACTCTCCACGATGATCTGAGAAGAAATTGGGAGATTCGTACATTAATATAAAAGTGTTTGATACTGTAAAAACTAGTCAACTTTTATACATATATAGTAACTTACTATCTTATTACTAAATTCTTAACTATATTATAAGCCACATTTTAGCTATTCTACAAAACTAGGAGTATGACATTCGTAAAACATGTTTGCGAAACTGCAATTCTCTTAGCATTAATACCAAATGGCTTTACACTTAAAAACTTGGACTTCTAAAATATTGCTCGGACTTTTAAAAATACGAATTCATGTTACAGCCGTTATATCTATTTAATTAATTAATTCTATTCGCTAAAATTCACAAGCAATCTATGAAGCAGACCGCGCGCACTCACAATTCTGTTCCCATGCATATATGTACATATCTTTCAGTTATCAAATCATAAAAGCTAAGTAAATAAGAAAGAGACGTACCGGCGGGCACCAACAACATTTTTGTATGCAACGGAGAGTAAATTTCTTTCCTCATTTGACAGTTCAACACCGGTTTCTGTGACTGATTTCATAGCCTGAGCCATATCATCGTATCTGAAAATATATATAAAAAAAATTGTTAATAAAATACACCATTTACTTATTTATGTTATGGCTAGAATAATTCACCTTTCAGATTGTTCGGCCAACTTTGCCTTTTGGACCAATTCCTCTTTGTCGACTGTAGACATTTTGATGTGTTTTGTTTTGCTTGCTGCTTACGCTGAGCTTAAAGAAAAAAACTGAAGCTGGGTTTTCCTATCAAACCGCCAAGAGAGATTACAACGCAGGGTTTCTAAAACTGAATGCGCCGCTCACAGTGTGACTATCTGCAATGATAAATGAAAATATGTAGTAGATTAGAATTTGGAAGATGGCAAATTATGTATGTATGTATATGAAGAGCATTCGGGATGAGAATATTTTGTTTCGAAAATGAGACTCGTTAACTCTTTAAGACCAGTTCGCTTATCCTCCTACAAAGCTTACACACTTTACATACATACATACATATGTACATATGTAATACATATTATGTCTGTATGTATAACCAAAAACGTCTTTCAACATGAGCCTCAAGAACAACAACTGAGTTTACGTTAAACAAGTATTGTGCACCAACAAACCACATTAATTTAAACAAAACTAATTGGAAATTCATAATTGAAAGCGCAGAAATCCCGAGCGCAGCGGAATAAATTACGCCGCAGAGAATTTGCCAAGTTTGCGCTTAGTACGCGTTGCGGGCGGTGGGTGACACAGCATAGCCGGTAGGTAGCCGGAGAATTTGTAAGACTAAAAACACAAATAAGCCACCGCCAGTCATACTTATTTACTTTCGACAGACAGCAGTAGCAACTGACTTAGCCTTGAAGTGCAAAAGGATCATTATCACATCGCCATCACAATTATTTGAAGGCCAATGAGGCGCAGTATTTCTCGGTATTTTGGAACTTCAAAGAATGTGTACACAAGGAAAAATAACTGTGCAAATGAAATATGGCGTACAACTGAAATTATTAGGCCGCATTCATTTTTATTCTAAAAAAAACTTGTGAACAACTTATAGCCGCATATAATTAGAAAAGGCACGTCAGCTGAGAAAGAAGCTTTTTACTGTACATTTCGAACTAAGTATTTGTGAAAGTATCATGTATGTAATTAAAAATGTCAAAGAAATCGATTGTCATTTTTAGTATGTAATTTCTTGCATTTTATTTTCATCGATCCACACGGTGGCTAAAAATATTAAATGCAAAAAGCGTTTCAAAATTAACAGCAACGCCGTCCGCCCCTTCCCCTGTTATAGTTCACTTTTGATGTCACAAATTTGTTAAGTATATACAATGTACATATGTACATAGGTATGTATGTATGTATGTGCATATGTATCTACATGCATATGCATTGACCAAATCGAATTTCAGTTTTCTTCAACTCTTCAAAGACACTTCTTCAAACGATTGAGAGAAACTCGACGACAACACTCACCACCACCGTTGGAAGGCCGCGGCTTACAAGGAACGAATATGGAGCGAGCTACACGGTGACTATTCGCTAACCAGCTGGCAAGTACAAGAAGCTTATCAGCAAAATTCTTAATATTCACACATGCACACACACACACCCGCCCGCTGTTAGGCAGGGCATGCGAAAGCGATTACATAATCACGGGACGTCAAAAGCGAGATTACAGAGAAAAGGTTATGTAGTTTTTTTTTTTGGTTTTTTTTGTTATGGTTGTTGCTGCGCGCAGGTTTGATATCTTATTTTATGTACATATAAAAGCTGATAGTTTATGACAAAAGCTTTGTGGTGTGATAAATGCTGGAGGCGCAGCTGAAGTATGAACTTGCTTGGGCGCGGCCATTTTTTGGGAGCGCATGCTAGCGCACACATTTCATGTACGTATGGACATATGTATGTATGTACCTGCATACGTATAGACATGTACTACATACATATGTACTTATGTAAATATTTGAATAGCGCGTAGATCAGAAAAAGGCGGTGCTACTGTGGCATTATAATAAAACAAAACACACAAATTGCAAGACTACCTACATACATATAATGACCTTAATTAACATAACAGCATCAATGTTGCTTTTATTTTCACATATCCTTTTTGTCATCGCCTCTTAAATTGATAATTTGCATCAAAAAAAGGTTGAATCTGTCCAAATGAAAAGTGAAGCGGTGCAATGAAACCGCCCAGTTGACCTTCAAAAATGCTGAGGGATAGTACGCTTCGCTGCGAATGGAAACTTCAGTAATGCGGCGGAAATTATTTTTACCCACCTTGCCCGTAGGCGGCAACGCAGCAACGTGCTGACACACAAACATTTGAACATAATTAAAAGTTTTTTGAACGCTTGCAAAAAGTTGTCACAACTAAAAAAAAAAATTCAACAGAACTCAACTCAACTCAAAATCAGCTCAGCTCAACTTGAAATGGATTGACAGCCAACAACGCAACAACAAGCAGAGACTGGCGAAAGCGTGGTGGCCGGCCGCTAATTGCCATTTTCGCAATTGCAAAAAAGTTTCACAATTGAAAGTGAGGCAAAGTTAAAAGCGATAAAGTTAATACCAATTAAAGTAATTTTAAATTTTACATACCTACTTATGTACATATCGTTGGTCCTCTGCAATAACGACACAATTCAAAATTCAAAAAATAAGAACTCTTACTACTGTTAAGTGGCTCATCCAGTCTCCAATCCTTGTCTCATCCGTGTCTACTCTTCACCACTTGCGGTAGTAAATAGTCTATACTACTTACTTTATTAAGGATTCGACATGAATTAGGAAAGGACTATAGACATGAGCCACTTAACAGTAGTAAGAGTTTTTCTGTGGTCATAAGCAATAACCGCCTAAGTTATATATCCTATCATATTCTGCAACTATTATTCCATGTGTACGTGAAATCCCCATCTCGCCAGCTAGGCTATTTAAAAAGTTATAGACGAACATATTTTGGTTTCCCTATAAGGTTAACATTAAAGTCAGTCCAAATGTTTAAAACATTTTTTCTCGAATTCAGGTCATGTCACTTATCCTTGACTAATCCAGTTCCAAGGATAACTCATAATTTGAAAGCTACCAACAGAATTACTGCAAATTATGAAACGCGACAACTTTAACTAGCTTCACTAAAAATTGTTATAGTTTGAGTTGTACCGTTATTGTAGAGCGCCATCGAGGTGTAATCAGCAGCGTATAATCTAAGTAGTGGGTCTGACGTAGATGGAAAGTATACAAGTACAACTAAACAAATATACAAACAAATATTTTAAATATTTAACTGCGTAGTTAAAATATTTGGACTGTAACCAAGTCGGTTTGAGGAAATCATAAAATCTAGTGAAAGATATGAAAGAGGGACAACAATAGCTAATACATTAATTATTTGTGAAACAAATAGAGCACGGAGGAGCCGCCATCGACCAACCAATCAAGTTGGTAACAATAAAACCTTTCAAATAAAAACGAATAACGAATTGACGGCACTCAAAAAACACAAACATAGTGGCAATAGAAATGCCAATTGCGACAATTGCGATTTGAATGTGATTCTCTAAGGCAGCCGGTTAGACGACAATTAGAGAAACTGCCGAGAATTTTAGCATTCTCTACAGAAAGGGTACTTAGTTCTCGATATCGAAAAAAGGTATCGAAAAGAAGCTTGTCCAAGCACTCAATTGATTATAAGGTGACAATTGAACTTCTTGAACCAAAATCGAGTAGAAGGGAATCACGGTTTATAGGTCTTCTCAAAACGGTTGATGCACCGGCAGATGTTTTTCCTAAATAGTTCGGACCGTCGAACCGAACCACACCGCCTTATGGAGTGGCCTGGTAGCTCTGGTTATGAACGACTTTTTGATCATAAATGCTAATATTATTTACCTTTGCATAATGTTCTAGCAGACGATGTATTTTACCGTTTTCAGAACTAAAATTGGCATTATGTTGGATTTGTTTATTTGAAAACAAAGAAAAATTAGCTCAAAAAACGTAAGACGATCCCAAGATCACGAAATATATTGCCACCTGAAATGCAAAAGGCCTTAACTAAAATCGTCACTGAAATGCCAAACGGGTCGGTAAGTATAAATTTTTTAGCATAAAACGATGTGGGGAGTTGTAATTCGATAAGCAAATCTTGCAGTCAATTTTTGACCAACTTCCCGATGACCTAAAGACTTGAAACTTCACTGATGCATCAGAAGCCGACGACAATGCAATACGAAGGATGAGTTAATCCCATAGGTGGCGCAGCAGTCGAGATATTTGAAAAACCCGTTAGTCCGATTTGGTTCATATTTAGGATCCACTAAAAGTTTTGCCGATAGGTGGCGCACGAGTCGATATATTTGGTAAACCAGTATTTATGGTCCAATTTGGTACATATTTAGAAATTTTGCTTTAAAAATATCTGTTTTTACTAATAACTTATGCATTTATATTGATATGTAAACTGTTCGGGTACTTGGCTTCACCCTTAGGAAAATATGCCGCACCGAATGGATTTGATTATTGATGTATAGCCACGTGCTCTGCCAGACAATATTTGGCCAGGCATTCACTTTGAATGGTCCGCAAGGCCAGCAAAATAAACACGAAATTATTTATTTACCAACTCGTTCAAGCGTTAATTTATTTGTGTTGACACAGCCGCCACGCAAAACTTACCATTTTGGCGCAAACTAGATAGAAAATGATAATGGCAGAATAAGGTGTGTATGTACTATGTATGCTGGGCAAATCCAAAAAAAAAACAGGTAACCTTTGTGTTATTTAGCTTTATTTTCATTGTTGCAAACTATATCAAGCTGGTTACTTTCGGATATAATTCATAGAGGTATACTTGAAACCTCAAAAAAAATAATTTGAATCAATTTGTTGCATAACTTTTGAATTATAGATGTTTTAATTCACAAAATATTAAAAAGAAGTGAATTTTTTATGTAATTTTTAAGAGGTGAAAAATTAATTATGTCGTAGCCAGGGAACGGCTTTTTAGGACCTAAAAACCTATATAAAAAAGCAAAATAAAATAACAAAATAGGCTGGAAAAGGCACTAGAAATAGCAAGAAAGTACCAGTTTTTTTTTAGATTTGCCCATATGTGTAGCTCTAAACGAAAAAAGAAGGAAGAAATATCTACTTGCGTAGATAAAAAGATGTTAATGCAAAGCTTTTAGGCAAATCAATAGAAACATTTTCTCATTTACTTTTCGCCAACATTTGTTCCAAGTTGCCATATTTTGAGAATTGAAAAGTAATTTTTTTTTTTTTCTATTGGAAAATCACAGGCTTG